CCTGGATTACTCTGATATCTTGCTACCATGCCCACGGCATAACAAATATCAGGTCGCGTGCACAACATAGCATACATGAGGCTTCCTACTGCCGATGTATAAGGAATTGCCCTCATGTCCTCTATCTCTTGAGTCGTCTTCGGGGACATCCTCTTAGATAGAGGTATTCCGTGCCGAAAGGGCAAATGCCCTTTCTTGGAATCCTGCATGTTGAAACGCTTTAGGACAGTGTCTATGTATGTGGATTGGGATAGGCACAACTTTCCCTTCTCTCGGTCGCGAATGACCTTGATTCCAAGAACATGTCCTACTTCACCCAAATCCTTCATATCAAACTGCTTGGATAACCATATCTTTACGTCTGACAACATCTTCACACTGTTTCCAATTATAAGAATATCATCCACGTACAACACTAGAAACACCACCACGTTTCCATCACTTTTCTTGTACACACTGTGCTCATCCTGACATTGGGTAAATCCATACGATTGGACAACCTCGTCAAAATGGATGTTCCAAGACCTCGAAGCCTGCTTCAGCCCATAAATGGACCTCTTCAGCTTGCAGACCAGATGCTCTTGGCCCTTTGCAATGAATCCTTCTGGTTGCTACATATAGATGTCCTCGTCCAAATTCCCGTTAAGAAAAGCGGTCTTAACATCTATTTGCCAAATCTCATAATCCATATGAGCGGCCACAGCCAAGAGAATCTTTATGGATTTGAGCATGGCTACCGGCGAAAAGGTTTCCTTATAATCGATCCCTTCTTTCTGAGTGTACCCTTTCGCAACAAGCCTAGCTTTGAAGGTCTCAACCTTCTCATCTGCTCCTCTCTTTCTCTTATAGACCCACTTGCATCCAATGGCGCGAACGCCACTGGGTGGCTCTACAAGATCCCAGACCTGATTAGTGTCCATTGACTCTATTTCAGATTTCATCGCCTTTTGCCAAGACTCTGCGTCCCGATCTTGGAGTGCCTCATTGTATGTCCATGGGTCGGATTCAAGAACGTCCGGGACGGCCTCAGAAGACTCTCCCAGACCCATCAACCGTTCAGGTTGCCGGACAACCCTCCCACTACGACGAGGTACTACCTGCTCAGGTGCATCATCAGCGATACGTGTTGCAGTACTTTGTGGTGTAACATCTAGCGCACTC